GAATGAGAGAATCATACTGTACAGGAGGAGGTCACTGAACCCATCATGTCTGTACCGGTCCCCCAAAGAACTATCTAGCTAGTCCCATTCTCCAGCCCCCTCTTCACAGCTCTCTCAATTCTTCACTTAATGTGCTCATGCTTTGTCATTCTTCTGTAAGCAGAAAATCACACCCTATGTTCCAAAGCAATTTCACAGTAATTGGTGTTTGGGGATGGATGTGCTAACAGAAACTGGTGGAAGATTGGAAGTGGAGCACGTTTACTCATACATTACAGATAACCATCGCCTCCTGAGCTTATTTGACTATGTTAAGACTACAATGGAAGTAATTCCCCAGAGTGTGACATGAAAAATTTTTGGTTCCTCTGAAGTGAGGATTATTCCTGATTAGGAAAGGTGATTGCAAAGCCTTACCAGCATTTTCTTTCACAGATTCAGAACAAAAAAGGACAAAAATGGGAGTGGTTTCTTTCAGCTTGTTAACCCTGGTTTAGTATAGAAAAAAGGCAGCCCATTCCACTAAATAAAAGGAAGCAGTTATCAGCTACAAATCTTGGGTGCAAACTGGTACACTTACCCATTTATCAAAATACTGCACACTAATTTTAAAGTGCACAAATCATCAAAGAACGATTGGTAAGATTATATTCTATTTAATTGTGAACCAAGAGGTTGAATTTGGATATGAACTTTTATCATTAAGTACCTACAAGAAAAGCTAATTAATGAAATAGCATTAATTCTGCTTCTGCTGTAATTGTGTGGTCATTACAGACCAATATCTGGATTCTGTCATTACAAGCTAAAACATCATTTAATAAATAAAGAGGTCTACAAAGTCCATCTTTTGCTGTCCACATATTTTGTGCCACTCCCAGTTGAATTAGTTTGACATTAGGTCACAATAGTAAACCATTTCTTCCATTCTGACTTTCAAAAGGAATCTGAATGTTAGTAAAGGGAATTTACACAATGTATATAAATTTGAAATAACAATATAATTTCAAATAACAACTGTATAAATCTGCAGGGAGGTCACGCATTCAGCAGTCAGGGAAGCAGTGATAAGTCTTTTGCAAATTATAATGGAAGATCCTAGATTGATAGTTTCTCAATAAAGATCACAATGGGCTACTTAAAATGGTCAAAATAAAACTTTCGTTTCAGAATAATATTGATTAGGACTGGATAATTGCCCAAGATATAGATGCATTACGATCTGAGCTACTTAGGTACTTTTAGCACCACCTGAGAAAAATAGGACAACGCTTTTGTTGTAGATGGTCAGCTGAAAGTACAAATATTTAAATTAATTCACACCAAGCATCTAAAGGTGCACAAGCTCCATTAAGTATGAGTGAAACAATTTGTTTGCATTGAATTCTGCTCATGCCTTTTGGATAAGACGTTCTTTCCTACAAACTGGCAAAATACTAAAACTTCTTGACAATTATAAAGCTTTTCATTCCTAATTGTACTTACGCTTGTATCGGTACACAAAACATTGATTTTGCTTAAAGAAATATAGTATCTGAAAATAGACAGGAGCTTCTGATTTGATTAGAAAACTAGTGATTTTAAAAGTTATGGGCTTTAGTTTGTTGCACTAAGGCATTAAATAGTGTATGCTATAGGTCACATTTGCACTTGTGAGGTTCAGGTTTTAATATTTTCTTACACAGTAATTTGCTGAAAATGCAAGCTAATAAGCATGACGGGAAACATGCCTCGAGGACCAAGGTGAGAAGGGCAAACAACTGTGCATCTCCTTCCTTGACCAATCACATTAAGTAGCACAAGGATTGAGAAGGAAGTGCAAATTAGAATCGGTCAATTCAATCAACCAGTGAAGAAACAACTGAGGTTAACAACTGTTATGATCCCAGACAAAACCATCAAATTTATCTTATGATCTTGTTAGGAACCAATAACTTTGTTACTTAAAGTTTGAAATCCTAGGCACTTTCTAAGAGAATAAAGCCACAAGATGCCATGATTTCAAATTAACAAAATAAACTTTACCATACAAAATTAGACAGATAAAACAATAATGTACATATTGTAAAATTTAAAATCAGCATGAGCTAGATATGGGTTAATGGACAAAATGCGGTTGAATATCCCAGACAGCACATCAAATAATAGATGTCGTCAAGACAGATCACATGAATTTCTCATCAATCCACTCCGATGTTATTGATATTAGAGGTAATAACACTTATTAAAACTTTGTCTCCTCACAATGGACATTAAGTCTTCACTTTTGAAGATCGTACCTTTGAATTCCCCCGAAGTTGCTCAGAACTGAAATGCCACAATGACTTGTCAATTCGCACTGGTCAATCTCTTTTCCTGGAACTGTGGTGCCCTGGATTATTAAGGCTGAAATCTGGGACCTGTTTACTCCACAATTCCAGCTCTTTCATAAAAAGCTAACTTCACATAAGTTGGCAGTGTCTCTGAATTTAGCTCTCCTGAGCAAAATCAATTAAACATTATAGCCTTCCTCGAGTCTGAACACTTTACTAGACCATAATGTTGCCAGGATTGCTCATGAGTTCCAACTGCATAGAGTTACCAAATGGTTCCCAGGACCTCAATGAGTCCCCAGCTCCTCAAATCTAACAGCAGCATTTCAGTAGTCTGGAGTCAATCTCTCAAAAGGTCAATACCTCTCCTATTAACCTTTGAACTAATTTGAGTGACTCATTACAAAACCTTGCAACAAGCCCCACCCTTGTTCCCATGCAGAATCCAACGTCAGCAACTGTGGAACACCCTGCACCTGAACAGTACAATACCCCAGATTGCTGGCTTACATCCTACAAATGGATTCCAAAAATCCATTACCATCATTCAGTACACACCAATTAGGCAGCAAATTTCAGAATCCACGCGTGTATCATTGAAACACAGAAATCAAACAGTTACTGCCAAAGTTGTGCTGCTCTTCCGGAAAGAAGTATGAGAATGGTATCTCATTGAGAAATGCAACTTTGAAACTTACAGGAACAGTGTTGCATTGCTTTACATAAGTGATAGATGCTCACTAAATTTGCTAGAAAAAAGTTATGGCTAGTCCATTTTAGTACAAGTACATTTTTATAGCTGTGATAAGGCTTAATTGCTGTTAAACAAGTCTGTTGGCGCTGAAAATTTATGTTTTCATATGTGGTATCCCCATTCCTTTTATTATTGGAGAACTAAAATATTTCACTTTATCTTTGCCTCTTTTCTCTCTGACTTCTGAGACCAGATTCTGTGCTGCTCATTAACCATTTTTCAAGCTGATTGGTTGTTACTTATCCCATCCCAGGGCTCCTGTAGATAGAAGCCAGTGTGTGCGGTTGCTTTGCAAACACAGCACAATTCACTAAAAAATCCTGTAGAAATTCTGTGGGCAGGTGGAAGTATAATGAACAGCATATGGAATTAATTTACTGCTGACCAAGAAATCCGACTCAAACAAGTATAGAATGAAGAAACAAAAGAGAGAAATAATGAAATCAGAATGAGAGGGACTGAAAAAGGAAAACTTCAACAAAAAAAACTTGAACAAATGAAACCAGAATGAATGAAACCCCATACTTGGAATAATTAGTTTTCCATGCCTGAGGGATTGATTTTCACTAATAAACACTTACTTACTTCAACTCAGAATGATGTGACCCAACTTTCTTTGGCGAGTTGAGCTCATATCGATCACCCAAATAAAGCAAATTCACACTATCCAAGGCACTTCAATACAAGGACAAAACTTTTCAAAATAAAAACCAAAAGAACTGCAGATACAGAAAATCAGACATCGAAACAGAAATTGCCAGAAAATCTCAGCAGGTCTGGCAGCATCTGTGGAACGTTTGGAGTTCTGTGACCGTTCTTCAAACAGATGACAAAACTTTTCAGATGCTGAAAGTCTGAAATGAAAACAGTAAATTCAGGAAATGCATAGCAGGTCTGGCAGTACCTGAGGAGAAAGATGTGGCCTTTCACTAGCAGCCACTCAATGAAAAAATTGATCTAAATGCGAGAGGTAGAGCGTTAACATTTTAGATCAATTGTTTTTTAGATTGGCTGCCAGTTCAAGTGAATTATTTAGTAGATTTAGTTGCTATCAAAAGGTCACGACTTGAATATTTCTCTCTCTAGACAGGTCAGACTTGTTGAGTATTTCCAGGATTCTCTATTTTTAATCATTTTAGACTGCAAGATAATGTTTTTGCAAAGCTAAGAGTAAGGTTGTGTAACATGTTCAGCAGCATTTGAATATCTGTGTTTGTCCATTGGTGATTCATCCAAAGTGGTCAGAATGTTTATGCATTAGTAACAGCAAGTGACATTTACCTAGATTATTTTGAGAGTAAAATCTTGCCATTGATGCATAAAGTTAATGTTGGTGGGTGGACAGATTTCCAGTTCGAAAATATTCCTTCTGTTTCATAGACTTAGGTTCTGCAACAGATTAATCAGTACTCCCAATACAGTCATGCAGAATTAAAATAGTTGACTATTTGGCCCATCAAGCCTGCACTGACCCTCTGAAGAACATCCGACCCAGATCCATTGCTCCACCCTATACCCATAACCCTGCATTTACCATAACTAATCCTCCTAGCCTGCACATCCATGGACAATTTAGCATGGTCAATCCACCTACTCGGCACATCTTTATACTGTGGGAGGAAACCAATGCATCTAGCAGAAACCAACGCAGACACAGAGAACACGCAAACTCACATGCGAATAGAGATTTGCCCAAGGGTCAAATCGAGCCCAAGTCTGTGCCACTGTGAAACAACAGCGCTAACTACTGTCACTGTGCCACCTAATGAATCATGAAGAATATTTATAGCTGCTTGCAGGGTTTCATTTTCCAATAGATTTTTACATTTCCTTCCAATTTTCTTAGGCCATCAGAAAAGGAGTAATTTTCACCAAAATTTAATGTGGATAACCCATTTAACTATTTAGAGTTGATGAAAAGAACATGTACGTACCTTTGCAGTAGATTGTACAATTAGCAGATTCTTCACTCACTGTTACTTTCAGTCGTTTTAACCAGCACCATTCGTCTTTCAGCTGCAGAGCTGTATTCAGATACTGTGAGGAGAGAAAATAACAAGTTTAGGAAGCTGCTTTCCTATTTTGAGACTTGTTTTTGAGCTAAATTTGACATATTTCACAAAATACAATACTGGTTACCAATTTAGTTCATACAATGTCCACGATCATGAGTCAGTTCAATGCATTTATATAACTTTAGCATCCATGTGATGCAATTTTATTTTGGACCAATTCTACTGTTGAGTAGATCCAGGCTAAATTCCAGAATCAGATGCCAACACCAACAACTTATATTTATATAGCACCTCCTTTTATGTAATGAAATATCCCACGGCACTCCATAGGACTACTTGAAACAAATTTCAACACTGAGCTACAGATAGAAGGATGGGGGCAGATAAGCAAAATTATAGTCAAAGAGGTAAGTTGTAAGGAGTAGCTTACAGGAGGTAAATGAGGCAGAATGGTACCTACCAGAATGGTAATTCCAGAGACTAGGGCCTACGCAATGAAATCCAGCAATGAAATTATTAACATACAGTAATTTTTTAAGAGACCAGAATGAGATAAGCAGAGATATCTGGCAGTGTAGTGGATAGTAGTGGAGAGGATAACAAAGATGGCAAAGGTGAGACAGCAGAAGGATCTGAAAACAAGGAGAAGAATTTTAAAATCAAGCTGTTTGTTTGACTGGGAGCAAATGCAGGACCATGAGAACCAGGGTCTCAGGTGAATGGGACTTCCTATGAGCCAAGGCACAGTTTTGGATGACCTCATGTATATGAAGAGTAGACAATGAAAGACGAATCAGAGTGTATTGGAATAATCAAATATATGGGTAGCTAAGGCAAGAATAAGAGTTTAGCAGAGGCACTAGGATGAGATAATGTTCGTAGATGTTACAGTGATGAAACAAAGTAGCCCTAGCAATTGTACAAATGTTCGCTTGGGAGCTCATTTGGGTAGTATATGACACCAAGGTTTGGAAAAGATTGGTTTAGTCTCAAGCTGTAGCCATTCAGAGGGTGGAGTCTATAGCTAAGAAAAATAGTTTGGAACAGAGACTAAAAGCAGTGACTTTAGTCTTCCCAAGAACTGCAAGAAATTTTGGCTCATCCAGCGTGGGATAGGTAGATTGAAGGAGGCACCATCTCTCTACTTTGCTCTAAACTCAAAAGGACAGATAACCAAAATTTTAGTCAAAGAAGTAAATTTTAAGTAGTAGCTTAAAGGAAGTGAGGCAGAATGGTGCTGAGGTGTGGGAAGTAATTCCAGAGATTAGGGCCTAGACAATCAAATCCAGGAATGAAATTATTAACACTCAGTGATTCTTAAGTGACCAGAATGAGATAAACAGAGATATCTGGCAGTGTAGTGGGTGCTGGAGAGGATAACAAGGATAGCAATGATGAGACAATGAAACTCAAAAGGGGTCTAAGTACTATTTAGCAGCTGTATGAAGTGGAGATCATTTGGTATCAATGTCATACAAGTGGTGCAGCCTCAAACACAGGTCCCACTTTAACTCACTCATGAAAAAGTGGTGATTATTGGCCAGAAAGCACAAATACCAATAATCATGACACTATATTAGGATGTACTGCTATTGAATTATGTTGATGTACAATTTCTTTCATAATGCTTTCCATATCTTAAAAACAATCCTGTTTACCTTCCATTATTACTGAAAAATGGACCCATATGAACGATGACCTTTATGCTGGGGAATGATCAGAGCCGTTTTCAGTTAAAAAGTCCAGTTCATAAAAAAAGGAGCATGCAGCAAAGTTTGCGAGATTCTCGCTCCTTGATTAAAAGTCATTCATAGTACAAATGGTTTTTAACTACAAATTCATTTGCAGTAAGTGAAAAATTACCTTTCACAGTATAGGATAAAACATTCAGCCACAAGATGGCACCATTGATAGATTTATCCTGAAATTTACTTTCCTCCTATCCAAATAACTGTAATTATTCAGAAATATAGTTTTCAGCCAGACAAAAGAGAATAAATGGATCTCAATTTCAAGCAAAAAAAAAGGAAGGATTTTTAAATTTAGGTCATTGGAGTGGAATGAATAGGTTTACTTACCGTAGATAATGGCATTACAAGTCAGCCTTTAATAGTTTAGAAAATCCCTCTAAAAAGAGAGGTCAGCTTATATGCCAAGTATGAAGGTGATCCACTAACATGTGGATGGTCACCCATCCTTGCAGTCTGCCACATAGGGTCAGACCATGTTGTCAGCTTGATCCCTTACACCAATTGTGCAGTAAATACTGAAACATACCACAAGGATATGAATAGTACAATTCATAAAAGAGACAGTTGCAGTATTGATAAAGAATATTACACTAAAGATTTAGTGGCAGCACCTCAAAGTACTCCTGTAAACAGCATTTAGTGGCAGCACCTCAAAATACAACAGTAAACAGCATTTTCTGTGCAAATATGGTATCCACATATCTGATGGCACCTTAGACAAAATTTTGAGGAATCTATTAGCTGTTTTCACAGGCACAGCGAAACATGGGAATTGAAACTTGTTGGATGACAATTGCACAGCAAAGAGGACAAAGACATTGATGTTTAAAAGCTGCCATTGCACTCTGATGGCAAAGTGAAGTATTACTACCTCGACCATTTCAACGAACTAAAAAGCTGTTTGATACTTTAACAGTATCACAATAATTACAAAAGGAAATGCAGTCTTAGGCAGCAAATTAGATCAGTTTTGGTGCTGTGTATGGAAGCTAAATGTTAAAGAGAAGCAAAAACTCTGTTCCATTAAAACCCGCTGTACGCATAAAAACAATATAAATGCAAATCACTTTTTGACACAAGTTTTAATTTGATAAGTACAGGGAAATGGACCAGGTGGATAGTTCATTCAGAAAATTAGCACAAGAGAGTGAACTAGTCTTCCACACTACTGTCTAATTAGCTCACCTTGACATTCAGAAGTATCGCTATCACTGAATGCCCCGCTACCAACACATCTTGGGTATCATCACTAATCATAAATTTGACCAGCTGCTAATTCCTGTGGCTATAACATCAGGTTAGAGGCTAGGCATTTTGCAGCAAGTGATTCGCCTCCCCTCCATTTCATCCACTGTCTGGCTTTAAAATTTTTATTTGGTCCAAACTAGGAAACCCAAAAATGACAATGGAAGATTTAGGTACATCAACAGAAATTTAGTACAGTGGAAGAGAGTGGAGTCATTGTGAGTTCAGCGAGGAGGGGACAGGGGTGTTTAGTCCTTTGTCTATCCATATCAGCCTCCAAGAGGCCTGGAGTTGAAAAGCTGTACAAGATTCTGAGTTTGGAAACAAAAATCAGAGAGTGACATTCCAGGAGAACTACAAGATCATTAATCTCTACTCAACTTCATATTTAATAGTACAAAGCTTACTTTACGGCAGGCAGTTCATCCATGTGGAATGCCCATCCCTTGGTATATGAGGAATCATGGGCACTTTAAGGCTGTAGAGTCAAAATTTCAGAATTCAACTCACTGTTGAAGTCACTGTGGTGCAAACCTCAAGGGTGACAGTCACGTAGATAACACATTCAGAGAGTTTGCCACACTGCACCAGAGGTACGCAGTCAGGTAGGGAACAGGTGACCATCGGACAATCCAAGAAAACCAGGCAGATAGTGCAGGAATATCCCAAGGTCCTGCTTAAGAAAAGGTTCTTCATTCTAGATACTGGGGAAGGAGGCAGTTCATCAGAGGAGTGCAGCAGCACCAGGCCCAAGGCACAACTGCAGGCCAACGGTATAGGAGGGAAGAAAAGTGGAAGAACAGTAGCGACAGGGGAATTCATTAACCAGTGGAGCAGAAAGGCATTTTTGTGGCCACAGACATGACTCTAAAATGACATGTCGCAGCCTTGGTGTGCCAGGGTCAACGATATTACTGCGTGGCTCCAGGGCATTCTTCTGGGGGAAAGGTGATCAAGCCAAAGGTCCTGATTGACACTGGTAACAATGATATAGGTAGGAAGTGGGATGTGGTCTTGCAGTCAGAATTTAGGGAGCTAGGCAGAAAATTTACAAACAGGACCTCAAAGTTAATAATCTCCAGATTACTCCCAATACCACAAGCCAGTAAACAAAAACACTGGAGGAGAAGACAGATTTATTCATTGCTGTAAAGGTGGTGCAAGAGGGAGGATTTTAGATCCCTGAGACATTGGGATTGGCTGTGGTGGAGAGGAGGTAGAATCAGGAGAAGTCTGGACAGAGAAGACCAGGAGAAACTTATAAGTGGATCAAAAACAAGAGAGCACAGAATTAAGGTGATTTGCAAAAGAAGCAAATATGATGTTAGACACAACTTTTGCATACAGCAAGTGGTTCAAGTTTAGAATGCGCTGTCTGGATGTGTGGTAGAGGCAAGTTCAATTAAGGCATTCAAGAGAACTTAGATGACTATTTAAACAGAAATGATCTGCAACATTATGAGGGATGTGGCAACAGAGGGGGAATGGCACTAAGTCAGGATGTTTTCTCAGAAAGCCAATGCAGACACATTGGGCCAAATAGCTACCTCTGTACCATAACAACTCGGAGATTTGGTGAAATGAGCGGAGCAGTAGACCAATACCTTATTAAGGGCAATTAGGTTTGGGCAACAAATGCTACCCAAGCCTTCACTGCACACATCCAATGAACAAACAAAATAACTCTATGACCCTAAGGTATGATGACTGATTTGTGCACATAAACAGAATGTGATTGCCCAGGAAACACAAAGACGTCAATAAAAGCTCCTTGTAGTGAAAGTGCATTAAAATGAATACGTCTCCATACTTGGCAAAAAAATAGCTATTTTCTAGTCCCTAGTCTTGCTTTTGCATCTGCTCTGAAATTACTCAAAGCTTGACAATGATGCTGACATCTGCAATCCTGAAATCTTTCACATCCTTTTCCTATGAATGTTAATGATGGTGAAAATTTTAATCTGGGATGATCCCTGAGCTGTTGCTGAGCTGTTGATATGAAATCTAATTATTCAGCCTCAAACCC